CGAGATCGGCTTCAGCGCGGCTGTCACCTCGGTGAGATGGGTGCTGGGGGGCTGGGGTGCCCCCAGGGTGCCCGTGGGGATGCAGAGGCCACGGCCGGGATGGGACCTGGGTGTGGGTGTTGGGTTGGGGGTGCCAAAATGGGGGATTCTGGAATGGGGCTGCTGCTGGTATGGGGGTGCTCAGGTGGGTGTGCCAGGGACAGGGATGCTTGGGTGGGGATGCCAGGGTGAGGGCGTTAGGGTGGGGGATGCCAGGGTGGGGGTGCCCCAGGGTTTTTTGGAGTTTGCTGGGAGTTCACATAAAACCAAGTCTGCAAAACCTCTCACAGTTAGAGCCTAGATCTGCAGCAGTCCCGTAATCTATACGGTGGCATAAAACCCCACAAGGAATCAATCTTTACCATTTGCAGCTCAGCATGCACCACAGGCTGTGTAGTGTGGGACAGGAGCTTATCCACCCCTCCTGATTTCTTCCACATCATTGTTTTTTTGGTTGGGGGTGCAAGGTCTAAGGTAGCAAGGGTGTCCATGCAGTTGTTAAGTTGGTTGTATATAGCGTTGGGGTACTCGGTGGCCGTGGGCGAGTTTGATGGCAATCCCAAAACCAAAGGTATGGCTGGGCGGGCACAGGGGCCAGGGCCACCTGCGGGGTGGGACATGGGCCCTGGGCACCCTTGGGCTCCAGGGTGCCCACCCCTCCCGAGGGCTCTGGGGCATGAATTGTGCCAGCTCAGGAGTCCTGACCTCTCTGTGCCCCCATGCCTGCCCCAGTGCCAGGGGGAACTCTGAGCCCACCCCAGTGCCAGGGGTATCCCCGTGCCCCCATGCCCGCCTCGGTGCGAGGGGTATCCCTACATCCCCATGTCCACCCCAGTGCCAGGGGGAAACTCTGTGCCCACCCCAGTGCTGGGGGTATCCCTGTGCCTCCATGCCCACCCCAGTGATGGGGGTATCCCTACATCCCCATGCCCACCCCAGTGCCAGGGGTACTCCCTTTCCCCCATGCCCACCCTCATGCCAGGGGGAAACTCTGTGCCCACCCCAGTGCCAGGGGTACCCCCATGCCCCCATGCCCACCCTGGTGCCATGGCGGGCGAACTCAGAGCTCTTGTCCTCCACAGAGTACGTGGTGGGGGTCCCCAACAAGAGCAACACGAAGGGCGAGGTGAGTGGTGCCGGGCGCCTGCTGCCTGGCTGTGTGGGGATGCCCGGTGGCGGGGACACTGCTGTGGCCAGGCACCCCGGGGTGGCACCACGGGATGGGGACGAGGACGGAGCCTGATGCTGCTCTGGGCAGGTGGAGATTTTCAGCTTGGGGGTGACCCTGCGCCGGCTGCAAGGCATCGACAGTGA